CCAAGTGGTAGTTATAGCCTTATTTATCAATGAATATAGGTGTATGTTAAGATCTGTAACCACTTAAATATATTGTAATATCAGCTGTCATACTCATTTTAAACAGCAGATGGCAGCAAAATGTTTTCTGGCAAAATCATTCACATGCTTTTACTAATCAAAAGACAAAGTGCTAATGTAAGAGAAATACAAAATACTCCATCAAAAAAGTACTCTTAATGTCAAGGAGTGTTTACTACTGTTGCATCATAGTGTAAGCAGCATGTTAGAGTGGCTTTAAAGGTGGAGCAGGTTTAAATACTTAATTCAGTTTCACTAGTTTAATTTACTGATCCAAATCAAAGGGTCACATGAGATGATTAGGGAGGTTTAAAAGAATAAACAACATTTGGACAGCCAGACAGTTTTCCTTATTGTAAAACACTGGGTAATTGGACCTTGTTGGGCCTGGAACAGTTATTGAAATGAGACCATGTTTAAAGTGTTTAGGTAAGTGTGTCTCTGGGGAACCCTCCATTTGAGTTGGAGCTCCACAATGCTTCTCTGTAAAGGCTACAAGCTAAATCAATTGAAAGCCACTGGTTTATTATCGAGTGTAAGACATTCTCTCTCTCTGTTGCAAACACAGCTTCTCTTTCTCTTTTTACCAAGTTGCGACCTCTTGGGCTGTGAAAGGAAGCCTCGATATGTGAAGTGCCACAAACTGCAGTTCCTTGATTGGCCAATTGAGACAGACTTTGAAATGGAGCAGAAACAAACACCAGCCTGATGCAAAAAACAATTTTGGTCTCTTTCGCTAATCATGGGGCGGTTTCTTTTTTTACAACTTACCCCTTTGAATGTAACACATTATTAGGGGCGTGGCTGCTTTCAATGACAGGTGTTAGCCGTCTCAGTTCGCTAGCTGTTAGCTGTCTGACGTCTCAGATATGTCACCTCTGGTTCTCCTTCAGGTTAACACTGTGAGCTCCTTCGTCCTCCTGACGTATTATGCACTGTTTTCACCGTAAACACTGTTAACTGCTAGCCTCCGGGTCAACCATCGCAACGTGAGAGCCATGTGGAGGCAATCTGTCAATCATAGGTAGACTCTGAATTTTGTATACAGTAGAAAACGTTTAAATGTACAGTTTAACTAGAATCTATAGCTCTCAGATTCAGTAAAAAACGACTGCTCCATCTTGAGTCAAGAGTGAACTTGAAGCTGTACTTTAAATCCAACAGATTAGAAACCCCACAGTTGGACACACCAGCCACTATTCCTGATGCAGGACCCTTGACCTTCTTCATGTAAGCCTCTTTACCCCATCCAGGGGCTTCTGCTTCTTGCCATCCTTTACTTCGATCTTCTCAAAGTCTTGAAGCGTGGGACCTTCCTCCTCCTTCATCTTTTGACTGTAGCTAAATCTTCCTCCAAAGTGTAATAAAAAACAAAATCATAGGAGAGAGCAGTCTCCATTCTCCATTTCCCCATTTTAAATATATGTGACAAAAATCATCACTCATTCATCTTAAAATAAGCAAACAATTTCAGTTTTTCTAAGACAGTTTCCTATGTATATTTCCCATTGATTCTTCATATGTAATCTTGGTAGAAACAGGGGTCATCGTTGAGTGCGGGGTTGAGGTTGATCACTGAACACAGTTTCTAGCATGGACTTCACACACAGCCTGGGTTGTTTGTAATGTTTCTGTTCTGATGCGAGTTCTTTGAGCATTAGGAAAAGCGCAAAAGAAATTGCATGTATTATTATTATTATTATTATTAGTGTCGCCAGAGGTGGGAAGTAGTGGAGTACAAATACTTTGTTACTGTACTTAAGTACATTTTTCTGGTATCAGTACTTTACTCCACGACTTATTTTTCTGTCGACTTTTTACTTTGACTTCTTACATTTTGAACACAAATACCTGTACTTTCTACTTCTTACATGTTGAACACAAATACCTGTACTTTCTACTTCTTACATTTTGAACACAAATACCTGTACTTTCTACTTCTTACACTGAGACTGCCAAGGCACACNCAATCAGCTTCATTAGCAAACCATGTATTCCCACACTGTTATAACCATATGGAGCACAGGCAGCTCCCAGTGAGACCATGAACAGGTGAAATCGGATATTTTTGCTATAACTTCCCAACACAGAAAATTCCAGCTAGATCTCTTCAGATTTAGCAAATTGGTTCAACAGCCACCCAAATATTTTGATGCACTTTTCCTCCGATAGCAGTGCCAGCTGAGCCATTGCTATTGCACTAAAAAAACCACTCCCCATAACCCAAAGAGTTAAACAATCCTGAGTTTCTCCATAATCAAAGGTGATGGAAATTTAACATAAGTCTGTAGCAAGGAGACCACTGTTACTATCTTGAGAAACATTTAATAAGACATCATCAAAAGTATAACCCACAACTTAGGGGCAACCAGAAATTCCACTTTAATAATAATAATAATAATAATAATAAAGTATTTGTAAAGGTAAAGGTAAGTTTATTTAAATAGCACATTTCAGGACGAGAGGCAATTCAAAGTGCTTACATGATCAATTAACACATAATAGGTTAGACAAACAGGAGGAACACAATAAATAAACATAATGGAATAAAGACTTAATAAAAACAATGCATTAATGAGATAAAAACAATTAAAAATGAACATTGTAAATACGGTAGAGTGGCTAAACCAATCTTAAAAGGCTTCTGGGTAGCAGCTGTAAAAAGTAGTGTTTTTTAGCTCAGATTGAGAAGAACTCCGCGTGGGTGAAGACTCAGGTTTTCCTGGAAGTTTGTCCATTTGTGGGAGCATAAAAACTAAAAGCAGCTCGGCGTGGTTGGTCGAGCCGGAACAATGAGTACCCGCCCCCGATGATCTCAGAGTCTGGGGCTCGTAACAGAAGCAGCATGTTCCAACATATGGGTCCCAAACCATTTAATGCTTTATACAGTTAACAATATAATTTTTAAATCGATTCTGTAAGCTACTGGTAGGCCAGTCGCAGAGGTCTAGTACTCGGGGGTGATGTGTTTAACTCCTTTTTGTTTTGCGTCAGGACCTGGCAGCGGCGTCTGGATTAGTTTGTAGTTTTCTAACCTTAGACCTGTAGATACCTATTACAGTAACCAAGCCTGCAAAAACAAAGGCGTGAACCCCCGTTTTCAAGGTCTTGGGTTGAGACATGAATGTGTAACGCCTGGCTATGTTTTTCGGTGATAGTATGCTGATTAGTAATTGTGTGATATGCGATAGAACAAATTGAGGTCAGGGTGCAGAACTACGCCTACATTTCTCTCCTTTTCCCGATGTATTTAGCAGGTAGCGGCTTCTAGTTTAGCGCTTACTTCCAGCCCGTTCCTCCCTTTTGGCACCAAGATAATTGTCTCTGTTTTGTGTTTTTGTTTAAAGGTGGGGTAAGGTAAGTTTCAGAAACCGCTCGAGATACACTTTTTTGTTATAGTTCATTGGAATGCTCTTAACATCCCGATAGCAATGAATATCTGAAAGTGCTTTGACAAAAAAAATCCATCAAAAAAATGTCATCTGTGGAACCTGTAATTACTGTAAAAACTACCAACCAATCCGTTTTAGCCGGCCCGGCTACAACGGATTGGTAATTGCGCCCTGTTCTGTCAGCCTTCCATCTCGTGCACGCACAAATGTATCTCCGTGGCCCTCATTGGGGGTGCCGTCCATTGGCCGTGCTCGCAGCAGTACTTCAATGACTCGCCAGCAACAGCCGGCCACTTTCACCATGGCAGAGTTAGGTTTCAACATCATCACTGGTCGCCAAAAGATCTCCAAAATCCCCAAGGCCAAACTCCGGAGCTCGGGGACAGAGCCTCTCTGTGGCGAGCACGAAGCCTGGAAATCCCTCCCCCAAGACCTCCGTGAGTCTGATTCCCTTCACCCTGTTCCCAGTCCCGTCTCAAAACCCACCTCTTTCAACTCTGCTTATCCTTAAACCCGCCCTCTCCCCCTCTGAACCAACATCCTCCTGACTGCTTTCTGTTTTTGTTTTGTTTTTGTTTGTGTTTGGTTCTTGTTTTGTTTGTCCGACCTTACTCCGTAATGTAAAGCGTCTTTGGGTCTAGAAAAGCGCTATATAAATCCCATTTATTATTATTATTAAAAGAAAAAAATGTAACGGAGCAAATTAAAGAACAAAAAGAGAGTGGAAACAGGAGAAGTCAAACCGAGTCAATATCGGAGTTGCTTTGCCTGTGTAGTATTGCTAACCTAAATCTGTTTAGCTTTGCCTGATATGTAAACGTTACATGCAGCCTGCTCTCGCGGAGGAGGTGCTCTGTAAGGGAAGTCTGAAGGAAGGGCGCGGATTCTTTTTGGCTTGTGTACTTTCAAATTTTGGTGCCACTCGGAGCCGGTTTCTGGAAACTTACATACCCCACCTTTAAATGTAGGAAAATTGTTGCTCATCCAGCTACTGATTTGTTCCATGCAGTTGGTAGGGATTGTAATGGGTCCGTAGTCGCCAGGCTTTTAAGGTGCTCAAAGTCGCTTTACACAGGTAGTAAAAAAGGAAAACTGATACATATAGTAAAAGGTAAATGGACTGTACTATATAGTGCTTTATCCAGTCTTTACGACCCCCTCGAAGTGCTTTACATACTACATGTCATTCACCCATTCACACAGAGCACCTTACTCTAGGACCTAACATTCACACACCGTTGGCCACGGTGGCAACTCAGGGTTAAGTATCTTGCCCAAAGGATACATCGACATGTTGACTGCACGGGCTGGGGATCAAACCTTCTGGGTTAAAGACGACCGCACTCCCCTCACCAGCCCACAGTCGATTTAAAATCAAGCAATAAAACAACGGTCACACATTAAAAGCCGTTTGAAGAGTTTTTGTATGTTTTTTGAAAAGTGGTGAGGACTTTGTAATACTAAAGTTCGCTCTTGGTTAATTTAGTACCGTTTTTTCTATGTTAAGCAACATTATAATAAGAGACTTTTTCCAATGTGTGTTTGCAGGAAATGAAGGTCGGGCAGGTATGGCTGCTATCGTCTTGCAACAGGATCACAAATTAAACGGATCTGAACTCTACGACCATTTAGTAAAAAACTCTTCCTGCCTATGCCTGGCCGAGGTTTCTCAGAATACAGGTAGGTCACGCATGTATTCATCACCTAATTTCATGTATTTTAAATGTATAGTAATATCGTTAATTGCACACACCAGTCTGTTGGACATGGCGTGTGTGTTACATGTTGGGATTATGGATGTTTCCCCTCATTTCTGTAATGTGATTGTGATGTATATGTGACATGTATGTAGGAACGTTTGCATTGTATTGTTCTCTTTTATCCTTTCGCCTGTATCTACTTGTCTTTCATCCTTTCTTTATAACTAATGCTGTTGATGTATTGTGATTTTAAAAAGGTGTCTTTTATCATCTGGACAACAGCTGGAAATTAGCAATGTTGGCTAAAAGTGCTCCATTTACTGTTTTGTGTGACAGTTGATCGATGGGGGCTGTCCATACTTGCCAACCTTGAGACCTCAGAAATCGGGAGCATTTCAAAACCACCGCGGGGGTCAACATTAACATGCTTATTGTAGTTGTAGGCTATGTGCATTGCCTTGCGGCCTGTAGCACCGTGGAGCATATGTGTGGGCTGGACCTGTATTTTACAGGAAAGGAGTGAGGGTCGAGTTGTCGATTCTTGTTCTGTTTTCTGTGACTATCTTCCTCACCCTCTCAGACTTTCAGTTGCGCGCTACTAAAGAGACGTGTAACCATGGAAACCAAACAATGGTGTAGCTGTATTAAAGTCCGAGTGGAAACAGTCCTGAGTAAATCAGATTTTGTCAGAAATCAGGAGAAATATGACCCCGGGAGGAAACCGGGAGAGGGCAATGAAATCGGGAGTCTCCCGCGAAAATCGGGAGGGTTGGCAATTATGGGGCTGTCCACGACACTATAAACAAATAAACTAAACTAATTAGCATCATCCCCGGCTGTGTTTTTTTTTCAGACGTCCTTGGATGTGACGGAGACGTTCAAGCAGCAGAAGGTGAAGCTGGTCACGGAGGGCTTCGATCCGGACGTCACCCACGATCTGCTGTACTTCTTAGACGTTTCTCAGAAAGATTACACCCTCCTGACTGTGTCTCTGTATCAGGACATTGTGAATGGGAAGATCAAAGTATGAACACTATAGGACGTTGGAAGTTAATGAAAAGGAGATATAATCCAGGTTGTTGCCATGTTTGCGTTTGTCTGTACGTGAAACGTGGTTATAATCAGCGCCACAGATAGAGCTGTTATTCATATTTGAAAGATTAGTTATTTACTCACTGTGAACCAGCCAGAGCTTTTATTTACCACAACATTTTAAGTGCTACTGTTCTAAGTTTTTACACTTGATTCAAACCAGACACTTACTCCACGTTTACATCTTGATAAGTTAAGTGCCATTTACACATAAAAGCACTAACTCCACTATTCATGACATTCCTGCCTGTTATTTTTTACTTGCTTTTACTCTTACTTTCTTTTCTGTATCACTAGTTGGTTACTATAGACGTGAGCACTGCCTTCATTGTGAATTTTGAAACTGAATTTTATGGAAATTAGGGTTTGTAAATAGGATTACATTACATCCACGTTTACATCTTGATAAATTAAGTGCCTTTTACACATAAAAGCACTTACTCCACTATTCATGACATTAATTTGTACTTGCTTTTACTTGACTTCTTTTTGTCTTGTCTTATTTGATTTGATTTATCACTAGTTAGTTACTATATAGACGTATGTTGAAACTGAATTTGACGGGCATTCTTATGGAAATGAGGGTTTGCGAATAGGATTACATTACATTAAGCGAAACATGTGGGTCTTCAGTTTGAGACAGACGATATGTAGACTCTCTGCTGTCCTGAAATCAGTGAGAAGCTCCTTCCACCATTTGGGAGACAGGATAGCAAAAAGATGTGTATTTCTTTTTTGGTGTACCTGGTTCCACTTCGCCGATTGGCTGATGCAGAGCGAGGTGCACGTACTGGAGTGTATGTTTTGACCAGTTCCCTTTACAGATCCCTTTAAGTGTCTTGAAGCGTATTCCGGCAGCCAGTGAAAGGAGCGAAGGTGAAGTGTAATGTGGGAGAACTTGGAGGGCTTGAAGACCAGTAACGCTGCTGCATTTTGAATTAACTGTAGAGGCCGGATGGCATTTGCAGGTAGACCAGCCAGGAGGGAGTTACAGTAAAGGGTGAGATGAGAAGACCCTGAACAGGACCTGTATTTTAAGATCTTGTATAGCACTTTCTAGGCAAAACAAAGGGAATTCCTTTAGATACAACGTGGGGCATTATGTAAAAAAAAAACACTTTTCACATTGTGTCAGATGATGTAACATATGGGAGTGGCTTTTCCCTTTCACGCCGTGACATTTGAGGCTATTATGTCTCTGTGTGTTGTTTATTCACAGTTTCAACACTATATGTATTGTTGTTAAACCTATATGTATAGCTGTGGAAGCAGACATTGCACTGTGAGCTTTTAGAGGACCAGTTATTCCTCCTTACCCCGTCAGTGTTTTTTGGCTAACTGTCTTAAAGTAATCATTCATTATGGTCACGAACGTTTTTTAAATGACTTTTTTGTTTTGGGCAGACTTTTATTTGAGAATATATGTACCTTTCAACGCTTGTTGGAAATCAGGTTTTCTTAAAAGAATGGGACGGATACATCTATATTTTCTATGTATAAATTCACCTGATTAATCAAAAATGTGCTGTCCTCACATTTCTGAACTGAATATAAAAGTCACTGTAAAAACACCAAATGTGTATTCCTACTCTCTGTTGCTTATATACTTTTACTCAAGTACAAGACCTGAGTACTTCTTAGGTCACATGCTTCTCAACAATGCAATATTGTTTTAATACAAACAATGGTGGGAAATAATGTTTTAAAACAATAGTGAATGTTTCTTGCATGGTCACGTGATTTCATTGTGGTCGGGGCGCTCGCGGTAGTAGGAGGAGTTACGGTCGAGCAGACGTGGCAACACATGACGTCATCAAAGAGGGTCGCTGGGTTGTTCATGGGTGTTGTGTTGAGCTATTCCAGCTAGCAGGTGAGTGGGTCAAATTGCTTGTCCTGTAGGATAAAAACGACACATAATATTGACTAATTCCTGTTGTTTGATAGTTGGATCAAATGCCACGTATTTCTATATTTTTCTACATACAGAGCTGAGTTGTGTTTGTACACGTGGAACATTTCTGTTGCAGGAAGCTAACACTGAATTTAGTTCAACCATGTTCCTGTCATTTATGGCACATATATCACCTTCATTATATAAGACTGCTCAAATAATAATGTTGCATTAACCCTGTACTTGAAACCAGAGGTGGGAGAAGTACTCAGATGTTGTACTTGAGTAAAAGTAGAAGTACTCAGATCGTGTACTTGAGTAAAAGTAGAAGTACTCAGATCTTGTACTTGAGTAAAAGTAGAAGTACTCAGATTTTGTACTTCAGTAAAAGTACAAGTACTCAGATCTTGTACTTGAGTAAAAGTAGAAGTACTCAGATCTTGTACTTGAGTAAAAGTAGAAGTACTCAGATCTTGTACTTAGTAAAAGTAGAAGTACCAGAGTGTAGGAATACTCTGTTACAGTAAAAGTCCTGCATTCAAAATGTTCCTCAAGTAAAAGTAGAAAAGTATTATCAAAATATAGTGAAAGTAGCGACAGTAAAAGTAGTCATTGTGCAGATTGGTCCATTTCAGAATAATATATATGATATGTTTTATAATGATTGATCATGAAAGTGTTCTCAAAGCTGGTAAAGGTGCAGCTAGTTTATGGCTGCCTGTAGCCCCCCCTGCGACCGTCTTAGTAGACTCTTTCCTCCTCACCCGACCGTCCTCCGCAGCAGGCTAGGTGGAAAGAAAGGTAGTAGACGAGCGAAATTGGGAGACTCTCGGGTCGTTGTGTCGTCCTTTAGTCCAACAAGTTCAAAGTCCGAGGTAACGTTCGACGTTGTATCGATCATCTTATATATTTATTATTATATTATTATTTTATGTTAAATAAAACCCCCCCGCGGAAGTATTGTGGGTTCCTTCGTAATGTCTCCGTTCCCGTTATATCCCTTGTTATTTTGTCACAAATCACTTCATAGGTCGGCCTCCACTCTGTTTTCTGTTGGTTGTCTTTACCTGGATATGCTTCCTGTTGTTTTCTTGTTGTCCCATGTCAAATATTCTTTTTTGTCGTTTTGTCTGTATTTTTTTGTTTGTCTCACCCAAACTTACACAATACCTTAGTCTTTGTTTAGTATACCGTTACTGTTTTTGTTTTTTTTTTGTGCTCCAGTGTCCGAGGAGTTGTCTCGTTGCACTTATATAATATCCTTGTGGGTCTCTGGTTTTGTTATCTCTTACAAACACAAGTTAGAACACCAAGTCGCTAGTTTACATTACGGACGGCATGATGGCCTCCTAAGTTGTTGAAATAAAGTGAAAATACACAAACAATAATAAATAAAAGAACACAGAATCTATTAACACACAACCAACTTCCGCGGACCCTGAAATAAAGTTCGACACGAGACACGTATACTGTTATGTAGACATCAAATTCTTTACTAGGGGTACCAATTTGGAAGTCACCAGCTTACATCAAAAGGTAGCATGGTCACTATTGTATTTTGGGTCGAGAGAGACGCAGTCTATGATTATGTAAATGAGTTCATGATATGAATACCATGTGTACAAACTCCATGAAATGATTTGATGTTTATTACTATGAAATCAATGAAATGTCTACACCTTACTACACTTTATATTGTTCACAATTTAGTCTGAATCAAGGGTGGACCTCATTTAGGTACGTCGATGGGACGTCATATGNGAGGTCAGGTACTCTTTAAAACAGCTGCTAGTTATGGGTACTTTTTACTGAAGTACATTTCAAAGCCGCTTTACTTTGACTTGAGTAAAGAAGTTTAGTCATTACTTCTACTTTCACCAGAGTATTTTTAAACACGAGTATCTGTGCTTCTACTCGAGTAAAGGATGTGTGGACTTTTGCCATCTCTGAGTGTCGCTAACTTGAAAGCTAAAGGAGTGTCTGCCTCTCGGTGATGAACCTGGTCTGACAGCAGCGTGTCAGGTCTCTGCATCTTCCTCCCCCAGCACTCACTAACTTACTGGGATGGAACATGCCTTCAGGAGCCTTTCTTGACATTTGAACTTCCATACAGCACCATCAATATTGACATCCATAATGTTTACTGTGATCCAAAGTTCAGCTGTTGATCTCACATCACGCTCCAGCTGAAGGATAAATGCTGGTCCTGCTGCTGTGTGTGTAGCTGACAACAAGCAGCAGTGTGTACAGCAGGGTGTGTGGAACACTTTCCACTCATTGGCCGGTGGCAGTGACCCTCCCCATGTGTTGGTCAATAGTGTTCTGACTGTTAAAGACCTGCAAACCTGACAGAGAGAGCTTCTGCTGCAGCGTTTCCACACACACACACACACACACACACACACACACACACACACACACACACACACACACACACACACACACACACACACACACACACAATCACAACTCATTTGTTTGGTGTGAAGCTGACTCTATTGAAGCTTTGAACCACTTTAAGAACATTGTGTATTGCATGCTTAATGTTAAAGGGTCAGTTCATCAAAAATAAATATAAAAGATGACGTTTTTACTTCCCTCTATATCTCTCCATGCAGATATATTTGGTTTAATTTGTTTAGCTTTAGAGATTTCAGCTCTGAAAATAAATGTAAAATCTTGACTTGATTCTCGATAAAAAAAAATGCAGAGAAGAGATCTGCTTTTCGTTAGTGTTGTAGAATACAGGATTGAAGTGTGCAACACTTTTCTATAAACAATTGTGCTTCTCTTTATACTCTGGTTATTAAAAAATGTTAGTTATACAAAAAAATGGGATCAATAGAGTGTATCTAATCTAATAAAATAAAATATAGGATTTAGAAATGAAGTCAAAATTAAATAATGGTTTCTTTGAACATCAGTACTAGAAAACACATACTAAAAGGCCAAATATAAGGAGACACCCTTGATATACAACAAACTCAAGCCACAGTTTATCCAGGACTTCATGAAGAACTTGACTTCAGTCCTTTCTTGTAGTTACTCTGGCCTGGTGATATTGCTGAAAATCCTAACATCATTTATTATATTTCATTTATTTTCTTGTTATCTCTATAATCATGTTGTCTCCTTTTGGAAGAGCCATCTAGTGGTCACTTTGCCACCAGTGAGTGTATTGGCTTTCTGTTCAGGTGTTCATCTTCTCCTTAAAATAGACTGAACTGTGAGGTTAGGTAATTCACCCTGAAGAATCCCCGCTATGTCTGCTACTACCTCGCTCTATTTCATGTGTAAATGGTTTTTAAAATTCACCAGTAAATACACATTTTGCTACTTTCTGCATTGGTCTTTTTTATCGTTGTTTGATACTGTTGACTAACTTCTTACCCATCATTCTCTTCATGGATTTTTCCTCCAACTAAAGATTATTTCCTTTACCTAACCAGAGGTGGGAGAAGTACTCAGATCTTGTACTTGAGTAAAAGTAGAAGTACTCAGATCTTGTACTTGAGTAAAAGTAGAAGTACTCAGATCTTGTATTTAGTAAAAGTAGAAGTACCAGAGTGTAGGAATACTCTGTTACAGTGAAAGTCCTTCATTCAAAATGTTCCTCAAGTAAAAGTAGAAAAGTATTACCATCAAAATATAGTGAAAGTAGCGACAGTAAAAGTAGTCATTGTGCAGATTGGTCCATTTCAGAATAATATATATGATATGTTTTATAATGATTGATCATGAAAGTGTTCTCAAAGCTGGTAAAGGTGCAGCTAGTTTGAATGACTTTGTATACTGCAGGGTAGCTTGTGGATTTACTCCAGGTGGAACTCAAGTCTGATTTAACACTTAGGTATTAAACACATTTAGTGGAGTCAAAGTACACCATTTACCTCTGAACTGTATTTCAGTACATTACTTGAGTTCATGTACTTAGTCACTTCCCACCTCTGGACCTAACAAGCATTTTCTCCGACAGTCATCTAGGCTGTAGAAGACCTCAGCTAAAGTTTACATCAGTTGTCTTTTCCTCCACGTCTCACAGAGCTGTGCGATGTTGTTGTAAAGGCTTCTGGGAATGTGAGGTGCGTGCATGGTTAACGATGTGCTAATAGCCTCACTGTTCTGAGAGGTCATGGTGACACCTGAGGCTGAAGCTCCTCTCCTCCCCCAGGAATAGAAACCACTCTACACTTTCTGTAAAATGATTCCTTTAGGTCTCAGTGAGTGCAAGGCAATGCTCCACTGCACTAAAATGTGTTGCCATAATACGTTTAATTAAAGTCAACAATTCAGCTTTTCAGTCACCTGCGTGCTGTTTGTGATGGCAACGTGCACTTGTTGTGTGTTTGGCAGTGTATCTGCACTTAGATGGGGGGGGGCTCATTAAAGAGCTGTTTTTTTTTTCAAGACACACATAAGACATGATTTACAACTGTGTGTGAGAGTCGTTGGTATTTTAACTGTGATGATATACAACCGTTAGGACGTATATGTCACATCGTTTGACCAAAAATGACAACCCAACCAGTATGTCAAGTATTGCACTTAATAATATTGATTATATTTGCATTTTAGCATTTGTCTTTGTATTGAGTTTGTCCACAGGTCATGATTCAATATGTGAGATGTCCCAGTTTTATACTACTTTACTAATGTGAAAAATACAACCAAACTTGAATGTCAAA